GGCTACTTAATAGTGGTTATAACCCTCTCTTAACTCTATAACTCCGAAACACGAACCTTGACGAACAAGGCCGCTGTGGGGAGAAACAAGTTGAGCGCGGTACTACCAGGGACGTGGTGGAGATCAAACTCTGAACCTCTCGCTTATGAAGCGAGTGTTTTACCACTACCGCATTATATATATATATATATATATATATATATATATATATATATATATATATATATATATATATATATATATATATATATATATAAAGTTTTTTTAATAATGCAACATTTTTTTTTTGTTGTACAATTAGGCCTCTTAGAATCAGCCTCTAAAATGTAACATACATGGTCGTGTAATATAGTAGGCCAGCGTGTTTAATTGGAAACCTATTCAAAGGCTTTAGAGAAAAGCTGCAACTTATTCAAAAGCATGGGGAAAAGCTGATGAGATTGACAAGGATGGTCACTCTACAGCAGACAGTGTGGCAGCAGCCTTGGAAACTGGAGTTGCCCGTAGCATGAATGTTATACATCTTCAAAGATGTGCTATCCACACTTTACAACTAGCCATAAATGATGCTTTAAAGAGATCCACAATAAAAATTTTCTCTATATTTATGCAAGAGAAGTTGTCAAAACTGTAGGAAATTCTAGGTGGATTAACTATTTTATAGACCAAGCTCCATATCTAGCATCAATTTTAGATCAGACTACCCGCTGGTTTAGCCAGTTCAATATGATTGAGAGGCTAATGAAGGTAAGTTATAATTTATATATACAAGTTTCAAATAAAGTTTTCTAAAACTAAAATTGATTCACCTGGCTAATATAAGTAAGAATAATGAACCTAACAAAACCAAAAAAGCAATATTGTGCAACTCTTTTGCAGTTTATGTAGCAGACTTAAATACAGAAAATGAGAAGAATGTTTCTCTAGTTGCAAAGCGACCACCAAATTTATTCATGCTGTGTGAACAGGAAGTAGAAGAGAATTCTTTGGAAGAACAAATGATTCAACTAGATATAATTGAAACAGAATTTTAATTATATCTAGTTGAATCTGCATTTGTGTTTTGGAACTATTCCAAAAAATGCGGAGTCTTGATTTCTTGATTTCTTGATTGTTTTTGACCTCTTCCCCCAACCCCCGTCATAACAATGTAACTCTTTAGTAACAAGCCCGTATGAGTCATCACAAAACTACTAACCAAAGTACTGGTATACACAACCATTGTTTATAGTTTTTGAAAAATATACTAATAAAATGGTCATTGACAGCTAAAATGCTTTCAATTGCCATTCAGAGAGAGGCTTGTCAATATGATCCAGCAATATGTTGATTGTTACAACAATCGAGATGAAAAAATGAATAGACTGCTTTCTGTGGACAAAGCTCATTCTGCTTTCAGTAGCTTTGCAAGAGATCCAGTCTAAGCAAATTTGTTATCCATAGTTGATTTATGCGGGATGGGTTGTTTGGTCTACACAGGATGTGAAAGACAACATTTATTAAATTTATTGTGCCAGAATTGTTACATTATTCTGCGTTTAAGTCTTTAAAGACAGATTACCAGTAAATTCTTCATTGATTTTTTTGTAGTTGCTGAGCATGTGAATGAATTTAGATCTGTTAAAGTGTGACAATTTGTCACTAGAAACTAGTTTGTATTGAAATGTGATGGAGCAATGATACTGTTCAGACAAGCCAAGTGGAGGACCAGTATTAATTTCATTAGCATAATCAGGAGTCGCAAATGGTGTTTTTCATCAGGGCATGATCGGGTTTGACTGTGTTGGGACATTGACAATTTTTAATGTAGTTGAAGGTCTTGAGCAAGAGAAACAACCAATGAACTGAGACCAGTATGGGTGAAGGAGACAACAGAATCAGAAGTCCAAGTAATCTCTGGAAAATTGAAATTGCCAGAAATAATGCCATTGTATTTTTTGTATAATATTGCTGTTTTAGCGTGGAAGATAGCATTTAAAATGAAATGTTTTTGAAAAAAAAAAATACTTATGAAAAGTTATGTTTTATAAGTAAAATATAAACATGTATAAAATGTAAACATTTCATTTTAGGTAAGCATTAGGTAGACAATTTTTCAGAACAACAAATTTGTATATACATTATATAGTAGTAGTAGTTGTATAAATATTATTAGATATTCGATACATAAATATATTATAATCAATATAGGTATATATCAATTATATCAATTTGTAATGTTTAGCGTGGAAGTAATTAAAGCAGAGAAGCTCTCGCTAGATAATAATCATATTACATAAAAGCAATTATTACATTATAATGAAATATATAAGCATACCATCGGACTGCAAATTAACAATTAAATTTATTCCGTAACTTTAATACTTTATTTGTAAAAATTCACAAAGATTTACAAAGACTATAGAAGTCATTTTTAATTTAATGGTTTACTATTTGTTCACTGATTATTCTTTCAAGTCTTACATGGGATCAAAGTTAAAAAAACTAGACTAGATGCTTTCAAAATGTTCAAAAGGCCTATTTTAAAAAATAGCGATAGATTTGCAAATTACTACAATGTAGGTACCTATACTTCAACTATTAATTTTTCAAATAATAAAATTTTGGTAGAACATCCTCATCAGCATATAATTTCAATACAAAGGGATGCACACAATTTGGAATTGTTGTAGCTTTGTTTAGCTTTATTAGTTACTTTAAAAACATCACTTTTCAAAATATTGTCAATGATTTTTGGTGTTTGATCTTGGTTACAGTTCATTTTCTACATTTTGAACAAAAAGTGATTAAAATATTGATTTATGTTTATTATAATTATTTTTGGATCTGTTGTTAAACAATTGTTATTAAAGCCCGCATCTATTATTAAATTTATTAAAGTTTTAATTGAAATGTCATAAAATCAAGATAAGAAGAGAGAAAAAATCTCTTGCTGAAAATCTTTGTGTATCAAACAAAACAAAAATTTTAAAGAGTCCCTAAATTGTTTCACAGCATTCTGCATTGTTCTCAAAGCAGATTGCTTTGAGAACAATGCAGAATGCTGTGAAACGGACACTGGTAAAATCAAAAGGAAATCAGGAAGTGGACGAAAAGTTTTTGTTCAACAAGATCTAGTTAAAAAAGTAACTTAGACAGAAATCTGGAGATTTCTGTTCAAACTTTAGTAAATTAACCTAAATCAAGTGCTTCCAATATACAAAGAGTAAAGAGATTTTGTGGCTATAAATCTTATTGAAAAAAAATTTCTAGTCGTGAAGAAAAGTAAGAAAATATGTTGTTCAAAGCTCTATTAGAAATTGTGCTAAAAAATCTTGTTTGATTATTGATGATGAAACTTATTGTCTTGCATGTTTCTGATCTGTGCCTTAAAAATGCCTTAAGAATGCTTTGAGAAGCATCTTTCTATTACTATTATACTATATACTATTTTTTAGATCTCATATGGGTAATCTATTATTTTAGCCTAATTTAGCATCATGTCACTACTATAAATATTCATCAAAAAATTAAAATCAAAAACATAGAAATACATCAGTATCTTTAAACTGGCAAACAAACAGTGATATAATAAAGTTTAGACAAGTACAAATTTTTTCAAATAAATTTTTTTTGTGAGAAATTCAAAAAAAAATACTACAAGAGAGGCATTATTAATTTTTTTCTGTTAATTAACAAAATTGTCAATTAATTTTAATTAAAAAAAATTACCAGGTAATTAAAAAAATAATAACAAGTTAATTAAATTAAACACAAGAAAAAGGTGGCAATTAAAAAAATGAATCCAGGATTAAAAGTGAGAAACAATAATTCTGAGTGCCTAAAATAGCCATCCTACACTTTAAAACACATTTTTACATCCCATTTTAAACTCCAAAAGAATTGTGGATTACTAAAGAATATTTTTATCATTTAGTTTTGTAAATCCATTAGAAACCAACTAGGAACAAACAAGCAAAAAAATTGATTTTTCTATTTAAATTATATAATCAGAAAACACTGGATTCCTTAAAATTTGTTAGCAAGTCAAAAAAATTAAAATATTAAAATATATTAAAACTTGTTTGCAAGTCAAAAAAATTTAAAAATTAAAATATTTTATATTAATTATAGAATAGTTTTATTTTTCTATTAAACTGATTTTAATAAATTTGAATTGATTTTTCTGATTAAAAAAAAAAATTGTTCATATAAAATTACTTGTTGTATTTTTTAATAACTTTCTTTTTCCTTTTTTACAATATTAAAAAATAAAATAAAATTTTCTTTTTTAAAGTTAAAAAAATTTAAATTTAAAACCACAAATCCACAAAATATGGAGTTTAACACAAATATAATAAATATAATATTATAAAAAACACAAATTTACAAAAAGTGAAGTTTAGCGCAATCTATTTATAAAAAAATTTATAAAATTTTAATAAAAACACTATTAATAAAATTATACTTTCATATACATAGGAATTAAAATTGAATTTAAAAAAGCTTCAATTACACAGTAAACATAAAATTAAAATAAAAGACATTATGATCAAGACATTAAACATGTTTTTTAATGTCTTAGTTTAATGCCTTGATCATAGTTTAATGTCTTAGTTTAATGTCTTGATCTTAGTTAATAGATTATTTTAAAGAGCTTCAATTACACTAAAATTTTAAACTAATAGCCCAATAAAAGGTCAAGATCAACATGTTAAATGTCTTCACAATAGTCAACACATTAATTTTTAAAATTTAGATATTTAAACATCTTCATTTTTACCTGTCCTGTCTCCATGTTTTCCTGACTCATAATTTAAAATTTTCAAAGAATTCTGTCAACTGTTTGCACTTAAACTATCTTTATATCCTAGTAACTTTTAACTAAAATATTACTTTCAGCCATATTGGTAGTGAATTTGTCTTTTTTAAAAATCTATATTAAATCTTTAAATGTAATACTTAAATATTCTGCAGAAAATAAATTTTTAAAATGCAAAAAGTTTAACAATGTTACTTACAGACACAAGATCACTTGGATTATCTGAAAAAAGTTCTAATTGATTGATATTACTCTGCATAATAGCTTCTCTTTGTTGAACAATATAAAGTTTATGATTCACAGATGATCTAAATATTTCCATATTATAAACAGTATCATAAATTGAAAATGATTTATAAGCAGTTTTTTATAAGTGTCTGTTAATAAATATTACAATCATGTTTTTAACAAAAATCTATGAACTACAAGACATGACAACAAAAAAATACACTTGATGAACAAAAAAACACACATGAAAATTAATCAGTTGTAAAAATTATATATTTGATATAAAACTATTATACAAATATATTACTTGATTTATATATATATATATATATATAATATATATATAAACTTTTACAGTTGCTTGCGTCTTAAAAACTTTCATAACGCTTGCAAAATTTAAATACAATCTACTTCTTAGTAATAGCGCAGTACTTTGCACACAATTTCCTAACTTTAAACTAAACTTTCTTTTCCACCATCATAAAAAGACATTTCATACACACTCAATCAATTTACATTCTATAGCCCTGACTATTTCAGTTAATATTCTATAGCCCTGACTATTTCAGCTAACATTCTATAGCCCTGATTATTTTAGTATGCATTTATTGATATAGCTATGTTTAAATATTCAGTAATTAATTTCCTAAATTTCAAAATATCAAAATATTAGAGAAAATAATGTTTTGAAGTTTGTTTAGTTGTAAAAAAATCCCCTAAACTAATAAAGACAAGTAGCATCATTTTATATTGAGAATACTTAGTATATTCAGTTCACTTAAGTGGCTTATCCGTTGAGGAAGACTTTGAAGCCATTCGTTAGTGATGCTTAAACAATTTTTGGACAGAAAAGCATTGTAATTATTTATGATACAGTTTGTAAAGAAATGAAAGTGATGTGAGTGAGACAAGATGATATTTACAAGAATTAGAAAAATTACAAGATTACAAATTAAGAAAAATTACAAGATGCTTTTGTTTTGCTCATGAAGAAGTTCTTCTGCTTTTTGAAGATGTTTTATTTTTGCAAAAGATCTGAAACAACGCTACATTAAATAGTTTGCAGCAAGTGAATGTAAAAAGTGTAGCAAAAACAAGTTTTATAGGACCCTATGGTTTTTTACATAATTATGCAACAATTAACAAAAAAGCAAAAAATGTTTATTGATTGTTATGTTTTTGTGAGCGTCTATAAAGAGAAAAGTTCATAATTAAAGATTTTTTTAAATGTTTTGAATTGATTATTTTTAAATGAACTCGATATGTTCAAATGACAAGTATAAAAACTTCATTAAAAAACATATTAAAAAAAACAACAAATAACTAAAGAACTTTAGTAGTTTTTAAAAAGTTATTTCAATTTTATATTTTTAAATAAAACTTTTTAAAAATAAAACATACTTTTTAATACTTAATGTTTTTTTGTTGTTTTTGTAATATTTTTAAAGTTGCATTTTTAACTTAGTATCTAAAATACAAATTAATCAAATAGAAAATAATAGATAAACGCATATTTAAAACTTAATATTTTTTAATAACTAGTAATAAAAAATTGTTTGTTTAAATTTTAATAACGTGACAAAATTTTTTTTTAAAGTATTAAACTTATTTAAGTTTTAAATACAAGTCTACTCCTATATTTACTTGCTTTCTTGTGTGGAGCTATCACGTGGAGTGTTTAGCTATCACATAGAGCATGAAGTTATCACGTGGAGCATAAAGCTATTTTAGTGCAATTTTTAAATCTTTCAAATTAGATTTTACAAAAAAAGATAATAATGATAGAACTTTTTAAAAATTAAATAAGCAGAAATGTAACATAAAATCATATTTCTAAAATAATAAATTGTTTCAATAAAAAAATGTTCTAAATATATATTGAAATAGAGTTTTAAAAATTTGGTCAAATGCAAAGTTCTTTTTAAAAAATTTTCTAGAAAACATTATGGTGCTAGAATAAATATCAGAAAAACTACCATTACTGAATTCAGCAAAGGTTGTTTTTCTGATATTTATTCTAGCATAATCATGACGATTATTTTTCTGATGCAACTATGACATGATAAAAAACATTACAGTGTATTGATGTATTTATGACATGATAAAAAACATTACAGTGTATTGATGTATTTATGACATAATAAAAAACATTACAGTGTATTGATGTATTTATGACATGATAAAAAACATTACAGTGTATTGATGTATTTATGACATAATAAAAAACATTACAGTGTATTGATGTATTTATGACATGATAAAAAAAATTACAGTGTATTGATGCATTTATGACATGATAAAAAACATTACAGTGTATTGATGTATTTATGACATTATAAAAAATATTACAGTATATTGATGTATTTATGACATGATAAAAAACATTACAGTGTATTGATGTATTTATGACATGATAAAAAAAATTACAGTGTATTGATGCATTTATGACATGATAAAAAACATTACAGTGTATTGATGTATTTATGACAAGATAAAAAACAGTGTATAACTTAAACAACTATTACTAAAATGTAATCAATTTTTTTTAATCCTTTTTTATTTTAATGTCAAAAAAGGTTGCAAAAACACTTATAAATAACAAACATAAATATAGTAATAAATAAAGTAAAAGTTATCAAAAAGTCCAAATTTAGATAAAAAGTGAAAAGCCCATGCAGAAATCCTAAATGGCCTCTGGGGTCATCATGCCCATGTGTGATGTAAAAACCAACCATGTTGCATATTGAATTGATTTACTTTTCAAATTGTAATTGTTTGTGTGTTGTCTACAGATTTTAAAATGAATTAAAATTGTTAAGAATTTTGTCTGATACTTTAATGATTTAATCTAATTTATTTAAATAATTTGGTGATTTTATCTAATAATATTAAATTATGCAATATAAAATAATTGTTTTGTAAAAATTGTCCAATAATTTGGAGCTTTAACCTAATAATATAAACAAATCAACAAAAATCAAAAAGATGAGTTATCATGCAGTCAGATCACTCATCTCTGAGTGATCTGACTGCATAGTTGACCTGTTATTTTTATTTAAAGGAACTGTATAGTTTTTTTGGATCAGCTTTGACCCATAACAAAAAAACTTAAAAAACATATCTCATAAAATGTTTTTGCCATATCAATGCTGAGAATGATATAGATTCATTATTGGCTTTGTTTCAGAGCAAGTTGCAAAGATTTGGATGATGTCTGTCGGTATTATTTAAACAAAAGCTACCTTTGATCAGATAGCGCACACCACCTTGTTCAGTGTAGGCAAAGGTCTCACCAGATTCCAGTTTAAAGATTGAATTGGATTCATCAGTCATGATTTAATATGTTTGTGGGTTGGTCAAACCTTTCTTTCTGAATGTAGGAAATGTGAAAACTAAAATTAAATGTGATTCTTCATGACAGAACTTCTGTCATGAAGAATCACATTTAATTTTAGTTTTTTTCACATTTCCTACATTCAGAATAAAAGGTTCGACCCACCCACAAACATATTAAATCATGACTGATAAATCCAATTTAATCTTGTTTTCCACAATTCAATTAATTTATTTCAGAAATAGTAGATACTATTTATAAACAATTAGACTAAGTCTATGCACAAACCACATTGAAAACAATATAAAAATATATATCAATATAAAAATATATATACTATATCAATATAACAACAACAACAACAACAACAACAACAACAACAACAACAACAACAACAACAACAACAACAACAACAACAACAACAACAACAAAAATAAAAGCTAATAATAATAAAACTAATAATAATAATACTAAGCACAACAAAAAAAAATTAAAATGATAATAAAAAAGATTGAACAAAACATAGTGATGTTTGTAAAAGCACATAAATTTTTCCAGAAAAATATTGAGCTTGTAATGCATCACTTTTTCAATGAGTTTAATTATCTTAGAAAGATAAAATTACATTTTCAACTAATTTACTTATATAAGAGTAATTAGGTAATTAGTGAAGTCTAGTAAAGAGCACATGAAAAATTAAAATTAAATAAATTAGAGATTTTAAAAACTAAAATTTGAAAACAACATTTTTAATTAAGTTCTTTATAAAAGTTCAAAGAAGTTTAAAAGCAATGTGTGGGATGAGTTGTAATGATATGTAGATAGACTATTCGAACCAAGATCTTTAAGCTCAGTTTTAAGCATGTTTTTTATGAGATTAGACATTTTCTTTTTTTGGGAATGGTTTTATGAAGTAATTTGTTTTATAACTAAAAAAAGTTAAATATATTAGATACAGCAGTGAGATCAGTGTCAGCAGTGATAATATTTTTATTTAATTTAGTTTTGAAAGATGTACTGTATAAAGAAGGTTTATTGTTAATGATAGCCTATATTACTTTTAATGCATTTTTAACTTTTTTTCAATAAATATATATTTTTATTAATATACTTGAGAATTTTAATAAAAATGTCTGTAACTTGATGATAAAGACTGAAATTTTAGTGATTTAAATGAATTATTCTCAGAAATTAAATATTATAGAAGCAAAATCAGCAATTAAGATTTTGTAAAAAATTGTCAAGCATATAATATATATAACATGTTTTTATTACAACTTGAACAATATTTTTGAACTTGAACAACATTTTTGAACTTAAACAATATTGAAAAATACTTTAAAAGTAATATAGGCTATCATTAACATTAAGCCTTCTTTACACAGTAAATCTTTCGAACTTTAATTAAGCAAAAATATTATAACTGACCACAATGCTGTACCGAATTTATTTAACTTTTTTTAGTTCTAGTGCATACAAACAATGTGGTCTGAGAAATAGTAGAAATTTTACCTAATAATTGATCAGAAGAATGAAAGTTCATAAAAATGTTATTAACAACCGTTTTTAATTTAGCCATTATGTGTGATGGTAAGATCATAGTGAGAAGGAAAGATCTAGTAAGTGGATTAAGATTCAAGATTATTACGAATAAAACTTAAATAGATCAATATTAAAATCCCACATATAAAAAAATTATTTTCATTTTTTAACTATTCCAGTAGATATGCTAACTCAATGATTCAT